GTGTATGTGTGTATGTATATATATATATATATATATATATGGTGTGTGTGTGTGTGCGTGCGTACGTGCGCGCGCGCGCGCGTGTGTGTGTGTGTGTGTGTATATATATACACACATATATAGATATAAAATAATTTTTCATGAAGATTTTAATAAAATTAATAAAACGTGTTCCAGATCAAAGAAACAAAAGTAAATAATATAATTGATCCCACATACTTTTCTGATGTTGATATCTTCGACTTCGGATCATTATTGGTGTATCAAAAGGATAAAAGGTTTGATTTGATGCATTATATAATGTCCAATAATGGAAAGTGTATCAAAACTGTAAAACATGTGCTCATAGAACACTTTTGATACATCATAGCTCAAAAATTATCTTAAATTATTGAGCCTTATATTTGAAATCTTTGTTCACCAAATTATAAGCATATATGAGATATTCAATTCACCAAAACTCAATTTCTTATTTAATCATTATGAGGTCCTTTATTATAAATTAATTACAAATTTATTATAAATTCGTTATAAATGTGTAATTTACAAACAGTGCTCATCGTCGTGAAGCAAAATTTAAATTCTGCAATGTATCCAAAGTTGATGCAGAAGTATTCTTCACTCTCCAAGAAAATAATCCAGATATTTTCATTATAGAACAAGAGAAACTTTATATTCAGGTATTTTTTATTATTTCGTTTAAAATATATTTATTATCTACTAAAAACATGCATTTTTAAATTATTTTCTGTTATTTAATTGTATAGGCTGGACAGTGTGAATTGCTAAAAATATCAGCAGGTGTTACAAAACTTGGTTCATTTACTGATAAGTTATACATATGTATTACAAATAATCCGCATATTGATAGTATCGAGGTAATTAGATAAAAAAAATAAAAACCAGAATATTGATACACATACACACTTTTTATTTATAAAAGATATGTGTAGAGATTATTACACCTGAAATGTTTTAGCTTCAATGTAATGGTTCAAAATTGGACATAGAATTAGAGGATAAACAGTTATCTTTTGGTCACGTACTCTTGTATAGAAAAAACTGTCTTACTTCCTGTATCCAAAATAGATCTCCAATCGAAATATTCTGGCAATTTGAATCTAATGAACCATTAGATCCTCAAATCTCAATTATACCGACTAAAGGAATTATCAAGACTTACAGTGACAAAACAGTTGAATTTTGTTATCACGCCAATAAAGTAAAAAATTAAATTAAATTTATACTAAATATAATATTAAGATCTATCATTAAAAATATTAATATTTAAATTTTATTTGCTTAAATTTAAAAATTTAATAATTCTTTAATTTTTTCAATATAAATTTCTTGAAAATCTGTTATTTTAATTTGGTATTTTTAAAAATAGCTCAAATTAGATTTTCGATTTAGATCGGAATGATCGAAGAAAACTTGACTTTCAAAGTTTTCTTTCACGAAGATGACACGGAAACACCTATCTTTATAGAAACTATTACTTTATTTGGCGAAACGTATGACGTTGCTGTTGACATTAATTATGCAAATCCAATTGATTTAAAATGCGTGAAGGTTGGTTTTCCTACGAGCGCAAATTTTACAATAAACAATCGAGGAAATCATGAAGTTAAATATGCGTAAGTTGAAAAGTGTATCTAGCAAATTCTTATATTCATTGCATCGAGATACTGAAATTGTAAACAATATTATCGTTTTTATACATTACAAAATGTTTTTTTATTATTTCTTTTAAAGTATATTTATATTTATAGTCAATATTTGTGTGATAACACAAACTAAAGAAAGCCTTAAATGGTCTAACTGGATTTTAAATGCTTGTATGATTGTGTAAATTTATGTATATTTGGCTAACAATTTAACTCGTGATATTACTACGGTAGTTTAGTAAAGTTAGTGTTTTCAAGATCAAAAATCATTTCGGCGCGTGTTTCTGGGGACTACATACATAGTATATAAATTCACATAAGAATCATACAAGCATTTAAGATCCAGCTAAACAGTTTAAGACTTTGATTTCTATAGTTTGTATATTTATAGTATAATTTATATTAATTATTAATTATATATGCTATACCAACTAAGTTAATAATTATAATTAGCATACTTTTGGAAAAGCAAAACAAACTAGCCAAAATCGTGCCAAATTTATCACTAAAATTAAACGAGGATATAGAAATTAATCCTGCTTTTGGTTCCATTCAACCAAAAAAAGAAGTTATTGTACAAGTATGTTATTTGATGAACTTTTTTTTGATGATTTCTTGCATTACATTACTAAAAATTAAAATAAGCTAATTATTTTTACTTTTATAATATATACAGATGTATAAGCTTAAATCCGCTGTTTTTTAGTCAGAAAAACACATTTTTTTTCTTAGGAAGCAAAAACAAATTTATTCAAAATATTTGCCCTCGCTAACTATACATTTTTTTCCCATCTTTCGGGCAATTTGTGTATACTACGCCAAAAAAATTCCTCATCTTTCGAGGCAAATCATTCATTAAGCCATTTTCGGACATCTTCGTAAAAAGCTCAGCGAGCGCGTGGCCCATCGACGAAAACAGGTGATAGTCAAAAGGTGCCAGGTCTGGTGAGTAAGCAGGATGGGGTAAGACTTCCCAGTTGAGTGTCTCCAAGTAGTTTTGGACCATTGTTGACGTGTGCAATGGTGCGTTGTCGTGGAGGAAAATCAGCTTGTCATGTCTTTTCCGATAATGCAGCCTTTTTTCACGCAGAGCACGATGCAATTTGATCAGTTGTTAGTGGTAGCGGTAAGCATTAACAGTTTCACCAGGTTTTAACAGCTCGTAGTAGATCACCCTCCTCGTAGTAGATCCCACCAAACGTATAGCATCGTCTTCCGTCCGAAGCGACGTTGGTCTTGAGGAAGATGTTGAGCGGGATCAACCCAAGATTTCTTGCGTTTAAGATTTCTGAAAATAGATCCACTTTTCATCGCCTGTCACAATCCGATGCAGGAATGATTTTCTTTTTTGTCTGGCAAGCAGAATTTGTGTTTTGGCGTCGCTCCATCTGCCTATCGTTCAGTTCATGCAGCACCCATTTTCCGATCTTTTGAATCTTCCCCATGGCATGTAGCCGCATGGAAATGGGTTACTTGAGAAATACCCAATTGCTCGGCAAGCATTTTTTGCGATTGGATATCGTCCTCGTCCAAAAGAGCCTGCAATTGACAGTTCTCAACAGTTCTTATTTTCACGCCGATTTTCACGCTTCTTGTCATTCAAGTTAAAATTGTTGTCATTGAACCGGCGAAACCAATCTCTGCACGTTGTTTCCGATAAAGCATTATCGCCATAGGCCTCCACAAACATTCGATGCGATTCGGCAGCTGATTTCTTCAAATTGAAACAGAAAAGCAAAGCTTCACTTTACATATGCTTTTTTTTTAGCAAAAAATTAGACATGATTACGAAAGAAAAAATGTATGTTGTTGTATGAAATTGCTGATGATGCACTAGTTAATGTTGACAGATGTCAAACACATAAGAAAAAGTGTATTGTGTGCCCAAGGTAGCTTTGTACGCTCTAATGCCACCTATGATCAAACAGCGGATATAAGCTTATACACCTAGTATATTGACTTAATGTTTTACAATAAACAATACAAGCAAATTTAATATATTTTTATATATTAAAAGATGTAAATATGTTAAATCAAAATAAGTTTTAATTAATGAAATTCTATTCAATGACAGGTAACTTTCATACCAAAAAATGAAATTACTTTAAAAAAGTGCCCAATACTCCGATGCCATCTTCTTGATATGAATAAACAAGCTGTAATTGCGGAATTTCCTCTCACAGTTTCTCTAATTGCGTATTACACGAAGTAAAAACTTACTTAAAGCTGAAAATTTCTTTAAATTAAGTCATAATTTTGAAACAAAGTTTTCCTTTTATAACTTTTAAAAAATCGAATTATCTATAATTTATAGTAATAAAATACTTTTTTTTGCTTTTTAATAAATATTAATAACATAGTCACAATTACTCGAAGTTATATTCCATTATCTTTTTTAAATACAGGTTTCGCATTTATCCTTACGATGAAATAAATTTTTTCTCGCTCGGTATATGCACAAAAAAAACGCTATATCTTAATGTAGAAAATGTTGGTAAATTTGCTCTTCATTATTCTATTGTAACGCCTATTAAACATCCAGTCATTGCCTATATGACAGAAATTAAGACAGAAAACGTAATTAAAAAGAATCATGACAAATCGATAGATACGTCAACGAGAAAAAATAAATCTCAAATCAAAAAATCAGATGATAAGTAAATATTTAAAAAATCTTCCCTTTGATTAATAATTTTATGACATATGTAAACATGTATATCAATTTACTTCGAACAAAGTATTTTTTTTATTTTTATATATTTAATTAAATTAAATATTCCAAAAAATGATTTTAATATAAACAAAATATTAATTTAATTTAAAAATTTGTAATTATTTTTAGAAATAAACAAGAATTTACCACTATGTTAAAAATTGGTTTCTTTACTGTGACAAAAACCGAAGGAGACCTTCAGCCTGGAGAGATCGATACCGTGGCAATTGAATGTTATCCTGAATTCGTAGGTTCTCAAGAAGAAAACATAATAATTCTCGTTCCTGATAGCGTTCCCGAAGATAGAAATGGCAAATTGATAAAATTATCCGTTAATTCCTGCATACCAAGTGTCAATCTTCAAGATCTCGACACTATATTCCATGAAAATCATATTGTGAATCACATTGAAGACTTTATTTGTTCAAAAGAAGTATTTAATTCCTTCAATAAATCAATATCGTATTCATCTTTTAAATTCAAAATAAAACTAAGAGGCTTATTCTTTTTATCAGATCGGTACACATACCATATTCGCACGTCAAGAGAAATGCCTGTACTTCCGTTACGTCAGTGTGTTTCACACTCATACGGCATACCTTGTACTTTACAATCGAAATGTAATACCTGCCGATGTAAAATTGACCTTAATCACGGATTCATTTACACCGAAAACTATGAGATCTGATACTTTCGTTCTGATACCCGAAAGAGAACGCATTCAACCAATGAGTCACAAGAGATTCGCGATTTCATTCAATCCGACGTTTATAGAGGTAACACTATCTTGTTTTTAAAAACAATAATATAAAATATCTTAAAAATTAAAAATAATTATTACGGACTGAACTATGTACAACAGTGGAGTTGTAGATTAGATTGTAACTACATTTTTGATCTATAAAATATAAACAAAATCCAAATTATTACAAACAAAATAATTATTAACATACTAGAAACTATTACATTAAATTTATTAATAAACTAATTATAATTCATAATAATCATTCATAAAAGACTTTTATAAAGTAAGAGTTCTTTTCTTTTATTTTAAATCACTCAAATAAACGAGCATAAACAAATAAAAATAACAAATATAAATAGAAAATTTATTCACTCCGCGGCTGCTTCGCCTTCACCCGATGCCTTCCAAGTTTTCTCTTCCTCTAAAGTTTCTTGGCTGTACTACACACACGAAACACGATTAGTTGCAATTATGCATGAATTAATTATAACCTTGCGGACAATTAGAACAATTTGCACGGCATTCCCGAGGTTAAAATTAATTAAAGACCGATCTCTCACATGATTATCGGTGAAACAGATAAAATATCCATTTTGAATAAGAATCATTTACGTTAATTTTTTAAATTTATATTTTAAATTTATATTACATTATGTTAGATATAAATATATATTAACAGTACACAAGCGATAACACCTAGATTTACATTATTTGAAATTATTCTCCAGTGAATTTCATGTCACACTCCACATTCCCCAAATCCAAAAACAATAATAAATATATTTTACATGTAATTTAAAAAATATATAAAGCATGATAAATAAAATAAAATCGAAGTTTTATTTAAAAACCAATTATCATTCGTAAATACACAATAAGATAATTCACAATTTTCATATTGCTTCGATTCCGATTTCTAAACGATTCGAACGATTCGAACGAGAAATATTGCAGCAACATTGTAAAAATATTTCATTGCAACATTGCAACATTACAAAAATATTGCAAAATATTACAGCAATATTACAACATAATATATATGCAATATTAAGTTTCACGCATAGTGGAGGAATACTTGTAGTATTATTGCAGATACACATTGTAATAATGCAGCAACATTGCTATAATATTATAACGTTATTTTAATTATATTAAAATAACGTTATAATATTATAATTATTAATCAATTATTATAATTATTAAGATAATATTTATTATAAGATTGTACTATATAAATTTAAATTAAAAAAATTAGAAGTAGGAGTTAAATGTAACATACAATGAATACAAATAAAATATGATTTCATAATTAATTATATCTTTATATTTTATAGGTCTTTATATTTTTATATTCCGATATACACTGCCAGTATTAAAAATCTACAGTAACCGTAACGTGAACTATAAATTTTCAGTACTGGCTGTGCATATCGGAAACGTTTAAAATATAAAGACATAATTAATTATGAAGTCATATTTTATTTGTATTCATTGTATGTTACATTTAACTCCTACTTCTAATTTTTTATTATACGTTTTATATCTTATTATTGTATCCATTGTGCATTATATTTAATCTTTACTTCTAATTGTTTTATATCTATAAATTAGAGGCACAATTCCTATAAATTATAGACATTAATTACGTTTACATCTTATGTCCGTTTCCACTAATGTAGATTAACTTTAATCTTGATTGTACTTATTCTTCGTCTTTTTCTAACCTTCAGACCTAGAAAAAGACAAAGATAAGTTGAATTGAGATTAAAATTAATCTACATATTGGTAGAAATGGATTTTACATTAATCGGGTTTAATAATATTCGTAGTTAGAAATTAACCAGTTATTCCATTTTTCAGAGGAATATAGTTATGAGATTGGTCAGTTTCATAACTACAGATGGTTTGAAATCCGATTAAGTGTGCCATGTAAACGTGATCATTAATTCCTATTCCATTATGTCCAGATCCTTACTTTATTAGGTTATATACAAATCAATATATACAAGTATAACTCAAAGTGAACTTTCTAGCAGAGGCATAAATCGACATTCTTGTCTTCGTTTCTGCAACATTGTATTGCAATATGCAACATTGAAATGTTGCTGCAATATTGCTACAAGTTTTTGCGTAGTACGGATTTCATACTCAGATTAATGATATCATTATTTGCATACTTTGATAAAAAATTCACATAACAACATAGATTCATAATCTTTTAAAATAAGTTTACTAATAAACACATGGTCGATCTTGTGTAGAATATAAATAGAAACAGTTAAATCTCACTGGTCAGAATACAAATAAAACATTCAACTGAGTTAGAATGATATTAGTTATGTAGTCAAATGAGAATTATCTGAGAATCGGTATAAATGGAAAGCAACTATTGTATACAACGATTAAATGACGTCATCAAAATTAAGATTACATTGATTATTTTAAACCAATTATTTTATTTAAAGCTCTATATAATATGCTAAATTTTCACTTGCAATTTATTTTTAAATAAGTGATGCAGAGTAAAATAATTAATATAACATAATTATTGCATCGAGTGATACTCTCTAAATTCTTTGAAGTGGAAATTTCACTCTAAAGAATAAAAAGTCAAACTTAAGAAAGAATGGCTCAGTTTTCAATTCTTAAGAGTAAGATTTCATTTTTCAAAGTGATATAGATCACTCTAAAAGTTTTGGAGAGTACTTTTAAATGCTTGATTTCCGACGATCTCAGTTTAATTTTGCTATTTTAATTCGAAATCAGTAAACAAATTATAGGTAATAAAAGCAGCGAAAAATTTGCATTGAGACAAGAAATTTATTTGACATCGAAGATTATATTAGCAGAATAATTATTATTCTTAAATTGTGAAACAATAATTTATAATTTACCAATCTTTCTTCCACTCTATTTCACTAATTCTTTAAAATAAATCGATGCTGAAAAATCAATTTCTATTTCTCTCTTGACAAATATAAAACTATTACCTCCGTTTAAGAGTTATTAATCACGAAAGCTAAAAGCGCAAAATACCAGTCACGAATTCTAATAATTGGGAAGAATAATCGTATTGAGTGTCTTTCTTTCTTAGCGTCATTTATTTGTAACAAAAACAATTGTGTCTTGAAAAGTATTACGATAGTATAGAACGGCTCTCTTCACTACTTACAATAGAGGAAAATTGCCGATAAGTCTCTTAAAGCGACATTATTATTTCTTATAGAAACTATTGTTTTATTAATAAAAACATAATTTATTTAGTTAAATAAAAAAGTGTAAACGCATAATTCGTATATTTGTGACTTGTTTCTACACGAAATTAGCGAAATCTATAAAAACGAAATCTATAAATGCGAAAATTCTTATGATTTTCTTTTGCAAATTGCATAATTTAAATAATAGTGACTATATTGTTAATAATATTATATCGTTTTAAAGTATTTATAGTGCTTATAATTTCCTAAATCAATTTTATTTATATTAATTTCTTTATATTTTATTTATATCATTTTTTTCTTATATAGAAGTATTTTATATAGAGAATTTCTGTAAAAAAAAAAGAATAGAAATATGTGGTATTGCTGCCCACTATCAGTTTTGGAGTCCATTTTGTGTGAAGTCCCTTTCAGACACTCAGTTTTGCTTATCTCAAAAAATAAATTATTGCAAAATTACAAATAATATTATAAAAATTGCTTATATGTATTATCTGATAGAAGACACTTTTTAGTTCCTATTTATGTATTTAAAGTTTTATTTTTATTTTGAAACAAATATTGTCTAAAAACTAAGTGATATGTCAGTATCAGCGACTTTCCCTTATATACTCAGACCCAAAATCATTAACAATAAATGAATAACAGCGCTGTGGCCTATATAGCTTTGCATACAATGCGCTAAATAAAAACAAATACCAAGATTGTGGATAAATTAATTATTATTTTGAAGTTTTAATCCTTAAACGCCAGATTATTGAAATGACATAGGGGAGACCGGAGCTAATAAATTCATTTTTCAGTTTCGAATTTTTACAGACGAAATTAAGAGACTTATCAAAAAAATGAAATCTACACAGTTACTACATACATTTACTACTACCTAATAATATTTTAATAAAGGGAAACTAATAATTAATATGAAAAAAAATGCATTTTTCTATTGCATTCCATCTGATTTAATTAGTCCCGGAACCGATAATTCGGCTAAGATTATTAAAATAAAAATTAATGTATTTTAAGCTATATTTTTGGCTATATATTAATAAAATTTTTATAAAAATATATTTTAAACACAGACATTCGCTTCGTAAGGCAAAACGTTTTGCTTTTTTTTGCAAAATTTGTTCATTTCGTGCGAAAACACATCGAATAAGTCTAGTTTTCGAGATTGGACATGAGGGAACTTATAACATTTAAACTTATAACATTTACCACTGAGGAAAATCTCTTTAAAGGAATAAAATTTTGAGTACTATAAGAGTTGTCATTAAATGAGTCATATAGTTCCATGCTGTGGTTAGTCTACTATTCCCCCTCCCCCTACACACACACACACACACACACACACACACACACATACACACACACATACACACACACACACACACACACACACACACACATACACACACAAATCCCTTCCTTTTTTAAAAACATTAACAATGTACGATAACAAAGGCACATAAACAAAAAAAATCTGTTGGACTTTATTAAGTAAGAACTACATTTATTATCTAAGTAGAAATCAAATATCTCAGACAATCATGTACGATTGTACAACAAAAATTTTAAGAATAAAAATATTTACTTAGGTGTACGATTTTTTTAAATTATGGCATAACTTCTATCATAGATGTATAACAAGTTGTTACAGTAGACTTAGCGGCAGTTGCTGCTGCGTGCTCAGACACGTTTACGCGTGTTTCGTTTTTTTGTTTTTAATGTAGCCTCAATTATTCTATTTATCCCCCCCTATAATCAACTGACCCAGTCTCCCCTACTTGGGGTGTCCCCTACGACATACCCAATCCAATTCAATTGTTTATAACTTTCATAAAATGAATATACTTATTAAAAATTCTTTTTATTGAAACATCAGACTTTAAGAAACATAATACGGTACCAAGTGTATGTATCTTTATTAATAAAAAAAGTTATAAACAATGAAAAAAAGCATTGGAAAAGCATTTAAAAAACTGGGTATTGCAGAGTAGTTTTTAAAGGTTAACATTTTACTTACACTGAATTTTCGTCATTTAAAATATAATTTTATTATTGATTTTGCATTATGATTTTGCATTAACGAGAAGGAATGCATAAAATATTGTTAAATTGGATAATACATTGTTTTATATACTTTAAATAAATTATCATAAAACAATACATAATACATAAATAATACATAAATAAAACAATACATAATAAATTTCTGCGTTCAATGATTTGAACACTTTATTTCCGATACGTTTATTACTTTGTAATCTTTTTATTTGAAAATGACAATATATTATATGTTTAAATCAGAGAACAATTTACAATGTGATGAGAAATTTATTTATTCGAATTCGAAGATTGTTAATGAAATAATTATTTGTAAATTTTACAGAATAATAATTTGTAATTTACATCTATTTCTATTAATCAATTTATAATATGAGTTTTTAATCGTGAAAATTAAATGCGGAATGAAAATTATAAGTTCTAAATTAATTATAAAGAATACAATCCCGTACTGCGTCTATTTTCTGTCATACTATATTGAAATTTGCAGTAAGAGAGGTGAATTTTTAATATCAACTGATTAATATATGTACATGTAACCATTGTAAAACTTATCTATCTATGAATTATATGTAGAATGTCCCATAAATTTTTGCTAAGAATTTTTGTGTAGATAGAGCGGACTAAACTGAGTCGAAAAGTTCTCTACCATTTTACAATTTTCACAATGATTAATGAGATATTAATTATTAAAAATCACTGAATATTCGTTTTCAATAAGTTTTACTCAAGTACTAACAATTTTACAGAAAAACAGCGAGAGACAAAAATCGTTAATTTGTTTTTCATGAAGTTTCTGAGAATATTTTCAAAATTTTTTCAGATTTTTTTAAGAATTTTTTTGTATTTATTATTATTTATTATTAAACCATATTTTATTCCTCAAGTTAATAAAAAAATATTAAAAAAAATAAAAAGTTCTGAAAAAATTCTTAGAGTTTTATGAAAAGAAATAAATGATTTTTATCTCTTGCGATTTTTCTGTAAAGTTGATAATATTTGAGTAAAAAATTATTGAAGATCAATATTCAGTAATTTTAATAATATTTGTAAACTCTCAATCAAAGATCTGATCAACAATTGACTCAATTTTCAAACAAGTAAGTCAACATCTAATTTTTAATATACTTGATCAGATCTCTGATTGAAAGTTTTAATTACAGTATTTTATATAAATTAACAATATCATAAAGTACTCGTAATGAATTCTCAAATTGTTTGATACAAGTCTGACAAACTGGATTCTCGATTTTAATCGAGGAATTGGCAAAATTATTTTTTCGAGGAATTATATCGAGAAACAGAAATTGTCGGAGGCACCACAAGGCATCAAAAGGATCATTTTTTGTAAATGGAGTTAGGATCGGAAGCGTATCATGACATTGTTACGATAGACAGAGTGTTCGAAAAAGGTCGACTCTCGAAATTTCTCAAAATATAGGTTTTATAAAATATTGTTTTAGACAAAAATTGTAGAGTGTAAAAAGATCTATCTACTGACCTTAAGAGTTTGACCTCGGGTGGCGTCACCAAAGTTAGATCGAGATTATTTTAGGCAAGATCGATGGCTGATCTAACCACTGAAGATAAAACCGGTGACTGACTTTAGCGACACCAAGGTCAAACTCATAAGTAATAGATAGATCTTTATACATTCTACAACTTTTGTCTGGAACAATTTTTTATAAAACTTACATTTTTTTTAGATATTTCGAGGTCTGATATTTTTCAAACACTCTGTCCGTAATAATGTAATGACAGCGATATAGCGACACGCTTCCAACCCTAAATCTATTTGCAAGAAATGATCCTTTTGGTGCCCCCGACAATCTCTGAAAGTTTATCGGTAGAATTTCCGAACATCTTGTATATACATCTTGTAATTATATGTATATTACAATTAAAGATACATAAATACCTAAAAAGAAATATATACTAATATGAGTTTAGGGTATAAATGTAAATTAAAAAAAATTTTAGGAAATTATTTTAAACATCTAGTATAATAATTTACATTCATCAGAAGTGGAGTTATCAATGTGCACTGATGAAGTGGCGAAGTTCACGAAACGTTTGGCATTAGCAATGTATTACATTACAATGATAACTGCAAATCCTTTAATACTTCCAAAGAAAATATCTGTGACAGCCAAAAGTATTATCAATTTGCACACATATTATACAATTATATAAAATAAGGTTAAATACTCAGTAAACATTGTTATATTAATATTACAAGCAATAAATTAGAATGTTACAAATAATAAACATAATTGTTACCGGTAACATACCGATTAATTGTAATTTCCCACTCATAAATATAACATGTAATATAACAGAAGTTATATTTTATTATATAATAAAATAATATTTATATTACATTAAAGTAATTGCGCGCGCGCGCGCGTGTGTGTGTGTGTGTGTATAAAGTATTTTTAAAATAAAAGACAATGTATTGGAAAAATTTTTAATGAAATTACGATTCTTATTAGAACTCTGTTATATAATGTACGATATGATGTACGAAAATGATATACATTTTTGCGATAGGAAAATTATTATTGTAATATTCAGTCTTTTTTTTAAATTTTGTAATTCTCAAAATCTAAACATATTTATAATCGATAATTCTTTTGCTTCTGAACCTATTACTTATATTTCAGCTAAAGAGATACAAATTTAAAATTACTAATTTCTAATTCTAATTTTGAAAAAATATGTAATAGTTCCTTCAATATATCATCGATTAATAATATTGAATAATACAAACAAAAACAAACAAGAGCCAATGAGAATTTTTCGCGCAGTTGTTGCGAAAATAAAAATCGTTTATTGTCGAAAAACTATATAATTAGTTACGCATAAATGTTTCGACCTACTTCCGGACTATTATCAGTCTGAACGTATATTGTAAAATTCTCATTTCTTCATGGCGAGACGGTTGGCAACTCAATTTCCTTATTCTATTGGCAATAGTTGACAATGCCAGTAGCAACGATTAATAGATAAAAATCTGTGCAGATATAAAAAACGTTACCAATTATTTTTTATAAAGAAAAATTAATGCACTCCTCTATATAGTCATGAAAGACGTGAACATCAAAAATCAATCAGAGTCGGAAGACAAAGGATCCGCAAATTATTCATATTTATAAATTCACTATAATAATATAAATTCACTATAACCGTTCTAAATATTGTGACGGTCGATATTCAAATGAATCAAAGATAATATACAGTACAAATTAATAAGAAAACAGATGGTATTACCAACATATGTTAGACTGTTACTTAAAAATAATAAAAACAAAAATGGCACGCATTTTAAATCAGTGAAAATTATTGAGAATCGAGATGTATGAGTGATGTAAAAATTCGGTGTCAGATTGCAAATTAAGGCAAAATTTTTTTGCAACTGAATATGTAACATTTCCGAGATACATCGTTTGTACAAAAACGCTCCTGATCAATAATCTCTGTGCCTTCCCAATTAAAATCATGATTTAGATCCACTCTGTGTTCGATAATAACAGAATGATTACTCGTGTTCCTACAGATGTCATTACAATGTTCCGAGATTCTTGTTTTTAAAGTCTTTCCTGCCCAACATAAGAGACATCGCAATCCTTGCAATATATCTTGTAAATTACGTTCTTTTTTGCTTTTGTAAAGCAGAAAATATTTGATTATGTATAATTTACACCTTTTCCATTCTTTTTGAAAGATGGATAGAAGATTTAATCCAACATTTCTTTAATTAAAATAAACACTGTAACTATGTATATAAACACAACTATGTCATCGTCGCCCAAATACCTAAAATGAAAAACGTTGTAAACATTATCTCGCTGAATTTTTATTCAAAAGAATTTTATTCATTTAAAAGAAGAATTGAAGCATTTTTTGACATTATGAGAAAAATATATCCTATTAATAATAATGGCGAATAAATTATATAAAAAATTATATAAGAAAATATTTTGCATTGTTAAAGTAGGGAATTTGTTTCATCAGAGCGCGCGCGCGCGCGCGCACATACACACACACACACACACACACACACACACACACACAATCGTATCTAAAAGTTACGTTTTATTGATGAATTTTTTTTGTTAATAACTTTTTAACAAATAATGAGTTACAAGGTTGAAACTTTATTCGAGACTACTGTTATAATCTTGACATACATTGTATATCAAGATTGTCAAGGTTAAGATCATCATGGCAAGCTCCCCTCATCGACATATTTACCAAAATAAGTTTATTATATTTTCAATTTCAATTTAGTTTCTTTTGTTTTTCATGATTTATGATTATAATTATAGACATGTTATGCAATCTTCGATGTAGCAGTCGAACTTCCCCCGCATTTGAAGGATGAAAAATTTTCCGTTAAATTAGTAGGACAAGCTTGCGTGCCAGAAGTGACAATCATCGAACCACCGAGCACAAAACGAGAACGAACTGTTTTAAATTTTGGTCGTACACTTGTAGGTGAATCTAATGGAAAAAAATTTACTATTAAAAATATTGGTGTGATACCAACTAAAGTGATCATCGAAATTATCGAGGATCCAAATTTTCATTTTACTCTCAACATTTGCGAGGGTACAAGAAACTTCTCAAGTGGTTGGTACTATAATTAATCGTTGATTTAATTTTGCTTAATAAAGAAATAATTAAAAAGATAAATAAACATTTATTATTAAGAAAAATTGTATGAATGTTAAAAATCTCAAAACATCAGTAATTAATATAGAGAATAGATCTTTTTAAATAAGCGCATCAATGTTATCTTTGTATGTTATATAAATTCTTATAATTTACAGCTTCAATCAACAGCTAAAATATTATATT